TCCTCAAAAAGTCAAATCATGACTTGACAAAATTTTTGCCTAAAACACTTCACAGCAAAATCCATGATTCAGCCAGATCCAGCATACATTCATGTGGTCAGGGAAATGGCCAAACCACCGGTGGAAGGACAGACAGTCTTTGCTAAAGATCTAATTCTCACAGCCACAGTATAAGCCAGCACTGGGATTTATTTATTTCTTCTCAAAATGAAAATTCTGAGTATACAGAGAACAGCAAAACTGGAAGAAAAGCATTTCCTTATATGCCCTTCTGTTTTGTTCAGGTACTGTCAGATAGTTATGCTCAGGTGGTGTTTTCTTTTTAAAAACTATATATTTAGAACACAAAGCCATGAAATGTTTAATACCATTCTGGAAAACTGACTTGTACAGAGTTTAATTACATTTATTATTTAACAAGCGAGTGGCAAAACTTATTTTAGGTTCCTCAGAGCATTTCAGATATTAGCAGGCTTTATAGAGATAAGAATAACGGGATTACTAGGGATCTCAATACTATAAAGCAGATTTAAAAACTACAATGAATATGGCTATTACTATCACTTTAGAACTATGCTACAATCTATTACGCTTTCTTAGCAAGTTAATGAAATTCTTTGTCCCACACACAAGGATCTGCAATATAATAAAGTTATTAATGAAAATAAGTCAACGTTTTAGAAAGAATAAAAAGGATCACTGGCAAAAAGGGAAATGTAATTCACTTATTCAACAATCATACTATTGTTTTGTAAACAATACAATTTTTTAAAAGGCTTATCACTTCATGCTGTACACAGATCTTCTGTAAAATATTGGTGCATGTATTTCTCTGAACGTCTAAATCCATTTTTAAAAGCAAAGTTTTGCTTATAATCTGCAATAGGAATGTAACTACAGCAACTAAAAAACACCAAGTGCTATTTCAGGAGTAACAAGTAAGGTTTACAAGCTTTAAAAATTTCTCATGCCAACAGCTGCTGTTTTTCTTTTATTGTGGTTTAATACAGTTTTAGAATTCTCTTGGCTTTAAGATCAAGTGTAAAACATTTCTGATTCTTCTTACCTTATACTGAAGGACAGGCTGATTTGTTAGAAGTTTTGTTTGTTTCACATATTAAAAATCAAGCAATAAGGCACAATGTGGAGGAGTGATTATCTGATGATAACCCCAGCTTCCTGAAATTGCTTTATTGCAAATATAAATATATTTTAGATTGTTCATTGGATATTAAGGGCATTAGCATGCTCATAGAGTTTAATCTTTCCCTTTAGAATATTAAATTCATAAGGCTTTTTTTTTGTCTAAGCTATTTTTTAATGTGCAAGAGAGGACTTCACATACTCAAGAAATACTGTAATTGGCTGGTGCATACTCCACTGGGGAGATTAATTTACGAGCACTGTACAGTTCTGCTAAAACTACTTCTCAACATTTCAAAATGTCAATAGTATATTTTCCCAGCCCTGTAAACACATTTTGATACACAATATAAACTTTAATGGTAGTTTTAAGACACCTCTGGGGGTATGGTTATTTAAGCAATAAGACACAGTAGGGTGTGAATTATGGTATAATAATTCCCTACCAACTGCATTGTTAGGCACGAGGCCAAAGGCCAGGGGACCAATGAACACACTAGGTGTGAATTATGACATCATAAGTCACACTCTGGAGTGTCTTACTGCCATTAGAGAAATATTTAAAACATGTTTTAACACAAATACTTTATTCCTATAGTACTATATTTTAATGGAATATCCTAAAAAATCTTCCCAAGGAAAAAGTTGGCCATTACATAACCTGGAATTAATAACAAAATTGAAAAAAAAGGTCTCTCATCATCTGCTACTTAGTTTGTCACATTGCACTGTGGTTACATGCTTTAAGGAAGAGCCCCAGAAAATGTATGTCTTACCCAAGTTTGCAAAAAATAGAACAAAGAGCTTCTGCACAGGGAAGGGATAATCTGCTTTGCCCTTTGTCTGGAGAATGATTGCCTGAATCAGGTTTGTACTGCCTTCTCCCGTGTAACTGTATCGATGAAACTGCTGGAAAATCTACACACCTTTTTTCCACACTTGGTTCATACTGCCGCAATAGGGCGCAATACAGACGTTGAAAGGGTAGCAAAAAGGTTCCTTAGACCCCATTTGCGCTCCTGCAGCTGGGGCCGATCACTGCTCTAAGACACCTTTTAGTAAGGATCGCAAATAGTATAATGTGCATCTGTACAATTTCCCATTTTAAACTCCATTTTAAACTCCACTTGACAAATGCATTCTCTCCCCTCTGGGTACTCCCGCGTTACAAGGGCAGCAATGGCAACAGTGCTGTCTGGAGATACACAAGCTAGCGCTCCTGCAGCTGGGGCCGATCACTGCTCTAAGACACCTTTTAGTAAGGATCGCAAATAGTATAATGTGCATCTGTACAATTTCCCATTTTAAACTCCATTTTAAACTCCACTTGACAAATGCATTCTCTCCCCTCTGGGTACTCCCGCGTTACAAGGGCAGCAATGGCAACAGTGCTGTCTGGAGATACACAAGCTCACCTTACAAATAGCTAGCTCGGTGACTGGTAGCACGCTCACTGCCGCAGCAGGGATCTTGGCATGATCTAAACTGGCTTCTCAGTCAGTTTTTACAGCTTGCCCTAAACCTCCAGGCTGCTGTGGATTGATTGCTACCAGTCACCAAGCCAGCCAGTGGGCATCAGAGTTAGCAATACGATAGAGCTTATGAGAGGGGCTGTTTGCCAGGCCCGTTGGAGGAGCGATAAGCCTGAGGGCATGTCTGCATGTCTCAGTGCAGTGAGGTGTTCAGGATGGCTAAGCTAGGCGGGTAGATGTTGTTAATGGCTATGTATAGCGATGCTGTGCCGTGTAGGGATAGCAACTTGCACCCTGGAAGCAATGTAGTTGCAAGGTCAGGTTAATTAGCTCTCTTGCAGCCAGTTCTGGAGCCATTTAATTTCGCTTTCACACAGGGATCTTTGCGTGTCCCTGATTATCTGAGCGAAAAGGCAGAAACCTCAGTTCTTCCAGGCAAAGCCTCGTTCTGACATAATTGTTTAGCGGGTGAGAGTTGTTTTCTGCATAACCTCACAGTGGTTAGCTGCCCCTCCTGGATAAAGTCACCATCTGTGGCCATTTACATCAGCTGAAGGTAACATTCAGAGTCTAGAGTCCCTGCTTCTCCATGAAATAGAAATGGGTACTCTTACAGAGAGGACTTCTGTGACGTTAACAGTGGTAACAAGGTAAAATTCTGAGCTAACCTGGTGTTTCCCCTTCCTTGTCCACTCAAAATGTCTATTTTAATCTCCAGCAAGAGAAGGTGCTTAATTCTGCCTACAGCTTGATGATATTCATGGGAACAATTTGAGTTTTGCTGCTTCCCTGTAAAAACAAACAAACAAGCACGTGATTGCTTTTTGCCGTTCAGCCTGCTTGAAGCTTCTGTCAAACACGATGAAAAAACCTACATCTCTAAGCAGTTTTTTTTCCTTTCCCAACAACTTCCAACCAAGGGTGAGCTCACTTTTTTTAAACCTAGCTTACATTTGAAAATATTAGTTTTACATCCACTTGCAAAATTACAAGCGCTTTTTCCTGGATCCCAATAGGAGTGGGGCAAACAGCCAAGAAAAGTGTTTCACACTGGTTCTACATACTCCAAGAACTTAAAATAAGCGGCCCCTGACAAAATACCTGTGTATATATATAAATTACACCTTTTAGTGGCAAAGCAGTATTTCAAAGACTGCTGAGCAGTAGTTAACAAGTTTCCAGCAGCATGTTTTTCATAAATTAACATTACTGCTCAGAACTCACGTTTGCCAACTAGAATGCTCCAATTTCTGAAACCATTTCATTACATGAAATTTGAGGTATAAATGCATCACTGTACCACCATAAGGACATAATCCTTTGATATACCCATCTCCATAAAGCCTTCTGGCTTGTAACAGTAAATCACAGCCCTGTTTTCATACCTCATTACCATTACGTATCTTTCCACTGACACCTGACCTTACGCATAATCAGGTATGAATTTCAAACCATACTTATAATCTAAATGAGTGCCTCGTTATTTTACATAACCCAGAATGAAATAAGGTTTGAGATGTAACTGCTGAATTCACAGCTCACATATTCAGGAACACAGGTCTACCGAAAAGGAGTCATGGTCTCTAATTCATGACTGTAAACAGCACCAAATCACACCTGCATATAGGAGCTTTGCAAGGATTTCAGATTGGATTTTAGAAAGGATATTGCCAGTTCTGAAAAAAACAACACAGTGTTGAAACTGTTTGGTATGTTGTTAAAGATAAACTGTGAAAGAAAAATGCGAGTACTGAATTTATTACCTGTATTTTGAAGAAAGAACGACAGCACCAATTGCATAAAGTTATAAAACACCAGTAATAAACATGTAAATAATCTTCAGGTTTGCAACGCCAAGAGAACACAGACATCTACAAAGAAATATATATATGTATACATGTAATATAATAAAACCATTCATTAGGGAACAAGAAACATCATATTTTTTTACTATATAAAACAGCTGTACAGTGTGCACAGAGACTTTACTGATCTTTCTGAAATGCCTGTCAGTCACTTCTCCCCATCATCATTTGCTTAACATAGTTTCTTTATTGTCCATGGGAGAACTCTAAGTGACCGTCTTGTACTCTTAAACTAAGAACTTACAGTGCAGTTTGTCTCCATATATATATACACACGCATACATATATATACTCACAGATGCACACATATATGTAGATGTGTATATATATGAAAAGAACAAACACACACATGTACACGCACACATGACAGATCTAAATAGCTCCTCCATCCTGTGCTCTTGAATGAGTGCTTATAAAAAATCCCCGCACGCTTTGTGAAGGGAAGAAAACTTGCTGATTGTGCAGATTGAAGTCATTAGGTGGTTTCATTCCTAACAGTCTGCAAACACACACATCTGAATCACATGGTGCTATCCCATATGCCCGAAGAGAGTCTGTTGCAGGAGGTATCTTCTACCTTCTTCAGCAGCGTTGGCTTTTTACAAGGCGGTGGAGGTGGGGCTGTGATTCTTTGCTCAGTGTTGTGCAAGATTTGCGGCCAGTCTTCTCTCTCTTCACACAGCTTTCTCCTCCAATCTAGGAGCTCTTGCAGAGCCACACTCTCATTCTCTGAAAGTCTAAGCTGATGAATAACCTGTCGTGAGAAGGAAATGATAATAATAAAAAAGGTGGATAAAGTTAATTCTCCTGGCAGTGTAAAACTGCAAAGTCCATGTTGAATGATACCTCACCCAGGATCCTCTGCCTCTTTTGTCGTGGATGTAAACCTGTGGGCAGGGCAGACTCGGGTCCTGTTTTCTTATCTCCTTTGTAAAGAGCTCAGTGACATGCATAATGATGTATAAGCAATAACGACTTTCAGCAAAATAACCTTCCCTTGAACTCATGAGAGGTGTTTTATACTGCCAAGCCCTGTCTGAGGAGGGAACCACCTTCTGCTCTCCATCCGTTATTTGCAAAGGGCACCATGGAGCGTTATAAGCTTATCCACACATTATAGTAGGATGATGAACAGAAATCCTGAGACTGCTACAGCGTGCCCTGGCTTAGCCATGTTAGATGGTGAGTGTCTGTGAGTGCTTCCATTCTTTACAATTAAAGAAATAAATAGATGCATGTGGGTAAGCACTCAAGTTCTACACTTTTGCTGAGGGGAAGCTGCTCTCATTTGTACTACAGCTGAAAGAAAACAGATCAAACAACCCTGTTAATAATTTGAAGCAACGTTGTCCTCCAAAAGGGTTTAAAACTTTGTGCTTAACTCACTGCCCCCAGTCCCCATTTATCATTCTTTACGCTGAAAATAAAGATAAATAATGATTTTATATAAATAAAGAAAAGTAATGATTTAGAATTGCCTTATTTCAATCTCATGTCTGAAAGTCACGGAACTGAAGTTGTATGAACCAGGTGCCAAAAATGAAACAAATGGAAAAAACTCCCCTATGTCAGCAAAGGCTACATGAACACAGTCCTCTGAAACACACAAAACAGACTGCCTACAGTGATGAGTAGCCCATATTTCTAACAACTTGGTCTTAAAACTGTTGTCATATAATACTGTTATACTCACAAAATACTCCTTTACACAGAGCAAATAGCAGCTGCAGGAGTAGCAAGGTTTTGCCTCTAAATGTAAATACCCAAATAGCCATAACCAAGAAACTATAACCTGTTTTGCTGCTTAGAATTAGTAACGCTACTTGTCACAGATACGTGTTATCCTTAGAACCAGGAGCTGGCGCTTGTTTTCCTCCAGAGAATACATTAACAACTTAAAATGTAGTTTCAGTTGGCCTGAAACTATTTATAAATTCATCTTGAAGTAGCCAAACAGTTCTGTACTAGATTCATAATCCACCTAGAAGAAACTGTTCCTTCCCATTTAACTTTTCTGTTCCAATGGTTATTTATTTTGTTCAAGTCAGTTTGAAGCCCTCATGACAGCACAAGTCCACGAAGCTATGAAGTTCATCTCTCCATCCTTTAAGACCTACTTAGCACCTATGCAGTACAGCAGCACCTAGAGGAGGTACTGAGAGCTCTTCGCTTGGGGGGTACTCTGTAGCAGAAGGGGCCTATCTAGGGAACATGAACCAAACCCACCATAACAGCTAACTGCCCATGGCCCTTACCCTGCTACCTTCCTTCTTAAGGACCCCACAGGGGCACCTATAAGAGGCACCTATGACATGACTAATATGCCCATTCTTCACCTCACACAACGGGCTCACGTGAGAAGTATGGCTATTCTTGTCAAGGTTGCATTTATACTCCTTGTCAATAATGGCTGCATGTTAGTTACCATGATAAAGGAATTGATGTGCAGTGCCCTTAAATGCTCATGAGACACTATGCAAGTGGTCGGTTCCAGTTGCAAGGAGGGCTGAGTGACATGAGGGGCATTTTTGTCACTGATGGGCAATGAAGTTCCCGGGGTAGAAGACTTTGCTATTGCCTGTGGCTCCTGCTGTTCCTTCATGGAATAGCAGGTACCTGGGTACAGAGGCTTACACAGGCTTTACACTGCTGCTTCAAATGTGTCCTGTGCAAGTCAGACCTTTCACACGTGCTGCCAGAGAAGGAATGAGCCCTTACATGGAGATGCCTGAAGATCGATGGGGAATCTGCTCAGTTTCTGGTTGGTTGATGCTTCAAAGGGAAATGCATTAACCTATACAATGTCTTAATAAAAGGTATTATAATTTCAAGCACAGTTGTAAATTCTGCATTTTTAAGAAAAAAGAAAAAAATGGAAAGTGTTTGAAAGACTTCATTAAAGTATATTTCGGTGCCATCCCAATTGTATGCCACTATGAAATCAAAACCCTCTTTGCTTTTATGTTTACACAAAATGCAACAGGGCATCTCAAAGAAAAATGAAATGTTCCACAGATATTGTTAGAGAGATATCAGAGTCTTCTTGTGTACCAAAACATATTACCTTTTTTTAATTTTTTTTTTTTCCAGTGTGAGTAGGAACGATTAGAAGACAAATGAAAAGTTTGTAATTGGAAACAATTTATCAAGAAAGACAGGTCAGGTAGTTTTATCCTATAGGGCAGGTGTATAGTTTGGGAGGCACCGTGACTTACTGTGGCCAATTTCTACCAATTTTTGTGGGTTTAATTTATGGGCATAGAAAACAGGTAGATTGGAATCCAGTCTTCCCAATTTAGACACCTTATTTGCATCTAAATTTTAGGCATTTCATGAACCTGTATTAGGCATGTTTCTCAGGGAGGTGCTGGAACATACAAAAAGCAAGGTGTGTTAGACTGTCATTGCAAGAGTTTCATATGAAAAAGTTTCAGACATAAGTAATCAAAGATGTGCCTGAACACTGGTAGATAAGTATACTTATAAGAAAACAGATATTTTAGAATTCTGTGTTATTGGATGTGCTCAGGTGACAAAGTTTGATAGCATGACTCCAATGAAGTACGGAGGAATTTTCAGTTTTGAAACATGGACAAAGTATTTGTATGGAGGCAGTGCCACTGCTATTCTAAGAAACATAAAGGCACACAGGTGCAGGGTGAAAAGCAAGTACAATTTGCCTGGGCAAGGCAATTGACAAATGCATCCTATTTATAGCTTATAGGCACTGAAGAAGCTTTATTATCCCGACCATGCTTATGCAAGCTGTAAATTAATGTTGGGTCAGCAGTTTCACTGTAGAGCTTATTTTCCAGTGTATAGTGGACAAATGTTGGTCCAGTCAACAAATAAGTGTACATCTTTTATTGTATTTTTTTAAACAAGGATGGAAAAATATCTCAAATCTTTATTCGTTATGAGATTGATCTGGTAAGTAAGATGGAAAAAGTGTCTATTTCAACCTGGATGAAGGACATGCGATGGAAATGCAGTGGAAATGAAATGGGGGAAAATGCACAAGAAATGGCAGAGCTTTAAATGAATCAATTAATTTAATTAGATCTATTTGAATAACATGGTATCTTTTCTCTTTTCCATTCATGATTAGACCTGTGACAAGCTAAAGATTTATTATACATATTCATTATAGAAAAGACTTGCTGAATCATTTTACACGAAGCACAATGTAAAACAGCAAGCTATGTTTCTTCATTATTATTCTATATCCGGAACAGGTATTTTGTGAAGGGTGAATGAGGTGTGTAGGAAGTAATTATTTTAAGACTCCTGATCTTTTCAATGAACACTGAACAAACAACTTCAACCATTAAGGGGTAGAGATGGTACCAACCGTGGACCAGGATTTTCCTACTCAAAGTCAGCGGTCAATCAGACATGGGCAACATAGCATTTGGGCTAGACCCACAAAAACATATAGCATTTGAATACCTAGCATTTAACAGCCCTGCCATCTGGTGGAAACACCATCCCTGTGTTTGGTATCCAGAGTCCTTACTGAGCAAACAACAAAAGCTGACGTGTCAAAGACAGTGACGCACAAGAGAAGAGCATGTGGACTTACCAAAGCTATTCATTGGAAACTGCAATGGAGTGAAACAGTTAAACAAGATCCATATTTTCCACTGAAAAATATGGCAAGATGAACAAAATAAATTTGTAAGGAGCAGCCCAGGGAAGAGATCCCAGTATTTGTTTCTCCCACCTCACAGCCCAGACTAGCAGACTGCAGAAGCAAGTGCTCTCCTCCTGGCACTAGGGATGTTGGTTGGTGACAGAGCACCGATGGCTCAGTTCCATCAGGACATCCGTGGAAGGACTTTCACCATTATCTAGTGGTTAGATATTGGGAAATCAGAAGATGTGGATTTGACTTCTCTCAGGTTAAGGAAGAGACTGCGTTCCCACATGCTGAGAGGACACTGCGACTACAAGAGGTGGACTCTGAGTGCAAGGAAGAAGGACTTTGGCTCCTGTGCTTTGTGCTGTCCATGTGTGATAAGTATGCTAAAGCAAATCCGTCAGAGTGAGTCCCTTGTGGTTTTAGCGCACAAGAGAGAGTGGAGACAGAGCACTTTGGTTGTACGCTGGCCACCATGAAAATCTTAGAGCACGATTTTGCTTACTGAATTATACACATTTAAGTATTGCACAGTCATTGGAGAATGAGACCCTGATTTGCCTTCTGGATTTGGGCTTTTAAATTCTGCCTAAATTTCACTTTACAGCCTAAAGCAGACATACTGGATTTCAACTTTGTCTTAGAATCAAGATGAGTTGCTATAAGTCAATAAATTATTTTAATTATAGTCTTATTTCTTAGGCTAGTTAAAAAATGCAGTGAGTTTTTAATTATGGAAGTTGAAGGTTTCACATTTTTAAATAATTTGTGGCAAAAGGTATGCCAGATAAAAAGATTAACAGGTCCATTTAAAATCAACTTTTATTTCAGTTATTTAGAGATTTGGCTCTAGAATCTCAGGAAATTCGTTCTGCATTAAAAGATCAAATGTTCTAACTTTACAGAGGATATTTTGTAACATTCAGAAGTAACAAAGAGCTTATATTGTCTATTTGTGTATCAAATGCAACAGTCTTAATCAACAAGCTATGGCTAAAGGACTCATTAAACTGTCTGCCAAACAGAGATTTATTAATTTGCATTGGTAGATTCTTTTGAGTATTTCACCTCATTTTGCTCTCTCCCTGACCAGTCAGCCAGTAGGGTTTACTTTT